CATCCTCAAAATGCTGATGTTTTCCTGTTTCACCGATTTCCTGAGAATACAAGTAGTTTTGAAAAAGTGTCAACAATTAAGTTGGTGAGTTCATAAGAGTTTTGTTTGAGAAAGAAATTGTTTTCCTTGTAAAAGCGACAAAGTATGTTTCCAGAAAATCCAATATTTTCTTTATTAAGTGGAATGAATGCTTCTATGTTATGCGATAATGAATCCTAGAGAGACCCATAGATTCCTTCTATAACCGCCCAATGTATATAAGTTATATAAATTTAAGTTGAATAAACCGTTGAATATAATGGGTCTGCCCTAGGTCTACAACCAAACAAGGAACAGGAGATGAGGCGGGCCCACCAATTCTAAGTCGATCGTAACTAGATTCTTATAAAACTCTAGCATATACACTTAGCAATTATAGATGAAGTCTATCAATTCTTAATGAAATATAGTTTTAATATCATAAAAACTAGTTTGTGTGAGCCTGGTACTTTGTATTTGTACCCCCTTTTGGTACGAAACCGGTACTTTGTATTTGTACTCCTTTTCGTAAGAAAACTTGGTACTTTGTATTTGTACCCCTTTTTGCATGAAACCGGTACTTTGTATTTGTACTACCCCTTTTGGTATGAAACCAGTACTTTGTATTTGTACCCCTTTTCGTATGAAAACATGGTACTTTGTATTTGTACCCCTTTTTGTATAAAACCGGTACTTTGTATTTGTACCCCTTTTCGTATGAAAACCTTTTGTAATGTAAATGAACATAAACTATACCTATTATAGTTTATCAAAAAGTTTGAAATGTATATGCAACCTAACTATACCTATTATAGTTTAATATGTTTGTTTGTGGTGTATAAGAACCCTTTTCTACGTAAGTCGAAGGCATAGTAAAATATAACTATGTTTATCTTGCTTTGTTTTGTACTAATGGTAATGGTGGAGGATTCTTACACTTCAGTGGGTATTTTATGTTATATAAATTATACCACAACAAGAAACACATGTAAAAATATGAAGTCATCAAAGATTAACACTTTGCTCGACATGTTACAAAGTGTGTTGAAAGTTAAAAGTTGTTATCTAGATTTTGACCTTTCTACACTGTTTTAGAAGAATTATATAAAAATCATACGAAGTCGAAAACTAAATCCGTAAATTCTGAGAGTTCACAAAATGTGTCTAGTTTATTCATAATTTTTATTATGATTTTTAGAAGTCTTTAACTTATGTTAAAATGTTCATATTCACATACTGGTCCGAATTTTTTTCTGAAATGATAGGCAGTTTTGTAAAAATCACCATAAATCGTAGAAAAATCGTATGGTAATGTGCAAGTAGTCATTTTAAAGTTTTGAACCTGAACTATTTGCACCTAATACAGTTTTGAAAACTAAGATGTTTAAGTTGACCAAAACAGTCCGTGAATGGAGTTGAACTTTTCTGATGAAGACTGTTAAATGAGTTTAGTTGTGTTCTTAGTGTTTTTACTTGTATTCCCCCCCCCCCCCCCCATTAAAACTTAAGAAAAACATGAAAAGATAGGGGTATGAACTCACCTTGTGTGATTTCAGTGGATGGAGGTTGAAGGAGAGAAGTGTTCAACTCAAGAACACTTGAAGGATTGCTTGAAGATTTGAGAATCTAACACCCTATTGATGGAGTTTGTGTAAGGAATCAATGATTTGAGTAAAAGTAAATGTAATAACCATAAGGAGGGTGATGATACTTACCAAATGAAGGAGAAAAGCTGGAAAATGTCTTGGAAATCTCGAATTTGTGAGAGAGAGTTTGAGAGAAAAGGTGTGTTTGATCTTTGGTGAAAAGTGTGAAAATGAGAGAAGTGTGAGGAGAGAGGGGGTTTTCCAACCCTTGACCAATAGTGTGCCTGGTCAAATGGTGGGGAAAGTACTCTTGAATGACCAGGTATGGTGTAAGGACAATAGCTGGTCATGGAGTGGGCATGGGGTGGTTGCTTGTGTCATAAACTAAAGAGAAGTCAACACTCCACCTCAGATATTCACCCACTAGATTTTATTCTTAAATAAAGATTTCCATAAAAATATATTTAAATTATGAATATTTAGGGTCTTATATGTTAAATATTATTTTTGGAGAAAATCCCGCGTTAAAATAATTAAAAACGGGCTTAAAACGCAAAACTAGTCGAAAACCGGGTGAAAAAACGCAAAATCCGAAGTCAGGAGGTGATTCCGGTCTTGGTCGCTGAAGTGGACCCGAAGTGGAGCTCAGTCGCGGATGCAGAAGGAAGGCGCTGCGGTCCGAAGTTAAGAGGCTGCGGTCCGAAGTCAGGAGAACCGGAGGCGAACATCGGATGCGGGCTCCATGCCGCTGCGGTCGGTGGCTGCGGTCGGCGGCTGCTGGCTGCGGCTTGCTGGCTGCGGCTGCGGCTGCTGGCTGCGGATTGCTGGCTGCGGCTTGCTGGCTGCGGCTGCGGCTCGATGGCCGCGGCTCCTCAAGGAGACTCCGGTTCAAGGAGGGTTTGATCCCTATAGAAGGGCTCCGGCCCTAAGAGCCTATTTTCCAAGGTATCTTCCCGTTTCACATGGTTTTTCACCAAGTCAAGTGTCGGGACGCCCCAATTGATTACGAAAAAAAACCAAAAGAGGTTTTGAGAGAGATTTGGGAGAGATTTGACGTTCTTGGAGAGATTTCTTATACAGAGAGAGATTTGGGAGAGATTTGACGCTCTTGGAGAGATTTCTCATACAAAGAGAGATTTGGGAGAGATTTGACGTTCTTGGAGAGATTTCTCATACAGAGAGAGATTTGGGAGAGATTTCACATTCTTGGAGAGATTTGGGAGAGATTTCTCATACTTAGAGAGTTTCGGGAGAGTTAGAGTGAAAGAGATTGGGAGAGACTTCTTTTGTGACCTTTTTGAGTGTTTGGCTTTGTAACTTAAGGTTTGTAAACCTCGTTAAGTCTTGTTATGACTTTAGTTGACTTTGACTTGGCCAAAATTGACGGTTGTCACATGCAGCTTTGTTCACGAAACTTCCTTTTCCTTCACTTTGCTTCACCTTCGAATTAAACGGTTTCTTGAAAAACTTTTTGACTCGGTTGTTAGAGTAAAAAGCAATTGCCTCATCATCCGAATTCATTATAAACCCCTCTTCATTATCAGAATCATCTTTTTCGATAGTTTCCTTTTCAGTCACTTTTGAGACAAGTGCTAATGGACCTCCCAGACTGAGCTTCGACTCTTCTGCCATTTCATTCACTTCACTTTCGTGATTCTTCAGTTGATTATACAAATCATTCAAAGAAGATGTGTCGAAACTTTGTTGATTTTTCACCATCATGCTAACGCTTCTCCATTCTTTACGGAGTCCCATAACAAAGGTGAGATTGAATTCCATGACAGACCTTGTGATTCCATAACGATTGCATTTGTATATCAGCTCATTCAGCCTATCATAGTAACTTTCAATTGTTTCACCATCTTTTTGCTTGAAATCCTTCAATTCAATCAAACATTGCTTAACTGAATTTGATTTTCGTCTTCTCGCTGCCTTGAAACCTTTCTTTGAGATTATTCCAGATTTCCTTTGCAGTTGTACAACTTCTGACATAGTTATACACCAACTAAGGCAATGCACCACGTAACTCCCTTATGCATCGTTTTTCAAGTTTCTTCATACGATCATTTTGATTTTCCACACTCGTAGTACTGGATGAAGATCCAATTGGTTGAAGGTTCGTTGGAAGAGTAACATTCCCTAAGATGCAAGTCCAAAGCTCTTCATCGATTCCATTCAAGTAATCATGCATACAATCAGACCACTGATCATAGTATTCAGGAATGAGCATAGGAATCTTAGTTGAAGATCCTAGCAGATGAGAGTATGAAGTCATCGAGTTGAGATTGAAGTTCGCCACTGATGTACGGAAGAAAATTTTTGAGAATTTATGAAAAATCAAAGAGAATTTGAAAGCAAATTGCTGAATTGAACAGAAAAACAAAGTAGAATACTCGATTCAACAAATCTGTTGCAGAATCGAATCACAACTCAAGATCTAGTAAACTTTTTTTCACGTCAAAAGATGCAGAACTTTTTGAACTAGAATTTTGATTCAAAAACCTTTTGAAACATAATGAAAATTAGATCTCAGATCATGATTCCTGCTCTGATACCAATTGATGAATCGTAGAATCAAGTATTAATCAAAATCAGAGTTAAACGAATGCAGATTGAACAAACGATGTAAATAAGATCTGGTTTCTGCTCATTTACGCTTTCAACTTTTACAGAGAAAATAGACAAGTTCTGTAAAGGACTCTTCTCTAACTCTAGTAAAGTTCCATATTTATAGGAACAGTGAAAGCATACAAAAAATACTAAGGCATTGACAATTAAGCTTCGTACGAAATACACCTCAATAAATAAACTTAACAAAACATACGAAGGGTAAAACAGATATCGACATATTACAATATAATTCGACCCTAACACTTTCCTATTGTTGCATCCTCTTTCTAATTGTATTTTCTCTCTTGCATTTTGCCAAAAAAAAAATCTCAATAAAGTTTTTCATTGTTAAAAAAAATATGTATGTCATGCTAACCGGACCAAAAATGCCATTAGCCGAAATATTAAAAACTATTATCTCATATAAAAACATATAAACATGTTTTTGTCCAAACATACAATATTTTGTGCTAAAAATAAAATATTTTTGTACCCTATCCTATCTTCCAAAGTCCCCTAGCGTCACAAATGCCAAGAAAAAGTTGTAATTTACATAAGAGTTTACGTATTTAGCTTACAATTATTATTTTACATTTTAATATAGAATTGAAAAAAATAACAAATTACACAATCGGAAAAGTACAAGTAAGAGTCACATAAAGTGGAGACACTTTCTTATTCAATGTACATCTTAAACTGCACAAGGTACAATCAAAATAAGCATGAGATGGGTTCCATGTTGAATATTCAAAAAAGTGACACGTGTGGAGGAGAGAATCTGATGGCGAAACGATGACAACATTCCTCCGCCATTGCTTTCTTCTACACCTCCTCACGAAAACCTCTTAAAACGACGATTAAACCCTTCTTCTTTCTCTCTCTCTCTAGAATTGGGGCTTTTTTTCTCTCTCAAACATGACGATTGAAGAAGGAGAGGCTCAAATTGACCAGCTTCCGATGGACCTACTTGCTCATATATTCGTTTTCATCACCTGCTTCAAGGATTTGGCGCAGTATGTTTCATATATTATGATCCTTTTGTTTTATAATCGAATTTTTATTGTTTTTGAGATTTCGATCGTTTTTCGTTTTTTAGCTTGTGTGTTGACTGTGTTTGTATGTGATGTTGACTGTGTTTGTATGTGAATTATGAAGAACGAGCAGTGTGTGTAGAAAATGGAGGGAAGGCGTGAAGCAATCGATGGGAAGAAGAGAGAAATTGAGCTTTGCAGGTTGGAAAATGGATGATAAATCTACTTCTCGTCTTGTTTGTTATGCTTATGGTCTCAAGGAGCTTGACATGTACGCCTTCAACTCACTCCCCCCCTTTTTTTTACGCTTTTTCCCCCTCTCTCTGTTTTCTGTGTTTAGCATTTCAATTACAAATTCCTTGAGACAGTTTTTGACGTTGATGAGGAAATTTCATCGATCAATTTTGATTGTTTGGGAAAAAAAGTGATTATGATTTGTAATTTAGGTTAAAGTCCATAAAAAATTAGGCATGATAACTTTGAAACACGCATCCATAGCAATCATCAGATGCAAATTACAAGGTATTTGATATTTTGGATTGGATTTCTGATTGTTTTTGTTATGATTTCAGTTCAAAAAGCCGATGGGGTTGCCAAATAACAGATAACGGATTATTCCAGTTATCAACAGCAAAATGCATCGTCAATCTTACCTGCATATCACTATGGGGAATGACAGGGATCACAGACAAAGGTGTTGTTCAACTGGTATGTGTTTACAAAAACATTCAGAATCTTCAAGAATCATGCATTTTCTTTAAATAATGGACCTCTAATCTTCAATATCATAATCTAGATTACTTGATTGTTTTTGGCTTTTGGCTTCTTGAGAACAAGTTGACCTTTTCTTGTTGACCATGTGCAGATTTCAAGGGCCAATTCATTGCAACACCTAAACATTGGGGGCACTTTCATAACAGATGAGTCTTTATTTGCAATTTCCACCAGCTGCCCGAATTTGAAGGTCAGCTGCCCGAATTTGAAATACAAATAAATGAAAGTACTTTGCTATTTGTAGAAGTATAAAAAAAATGATATTGATTATATTTCACATAATTGCAGAGTGTTGTATTATGGGGATGTCGTCATGTTACTGAAAATGGGCTTCAAGTTCTTGTAAATAAATGTCGGAAATTGGAGTCAATAAATGTATGGGGTATGAGAATCCCTCTTGATTCCTTTATTACCCTTTTGGAAATCCGTCCAGCTCTTCAAATTACCCCTCAATCACTGCTTAATATCGAAAATGCCCCTCTGTTACCTGTTTTTTGAGGCCTTATTATTGGTAAAAAATGTGTACAGATTGTTGTGATTGTATGTAATTTATTTATTGACATAATAAAATGGAAACTTTGTGTGTTTTCTCCATCTTTGTTGGTAATTTTATTTTGATTGTTTGATAAATTGTTTAAAGCTCTGATTTTTGGCCAATAAAATACAAGTTAAAAACTATTCAGTGACATTGTACAAAAAAAAAAAAAAATACAAAATGCAAAATAATAGGAGAGTGAAAAATAGATTGATCTCAAAAACTAGCTTTTGTCTCATAAGATATGAGAAGCTAAGTGATAAACTAATAGTATCATTTGGTAAAAATATAACTGATAAAATAAATGGAGAATATAAAATGACATAAACATATATTTATATAGATAATAATTAATGATATATAAAGGTATATTTGGAAAATTTATTGAAAATGTTCAATGCACTTATTTGTAAATAGTACGGTTCGGTACCGGTTCTAGTACATACCGACACAATCGAGATTTGGTACTAACTGCTCAAATTCTAAGCTGAAAAACTTGTTTTTGCATGATAATCTAGCAAATAAAATAATAACGTTTTTTAAACTAGCTGATAAACTAATTGACAAATAAAAAATACAAAAAATAAAATTTAAATATATAATTAAAAACATGTTATATTATATAGAACATTATTAGAATTTATTTCATCATATTAAACTATTTAGTTACAAAGAGTTTTCCGATCATTTTCATTTTTAAAACACTTTATTACATTTGATATTATATTTGCAATATAATTTATCCCCTCTCATGTATAAATTCTCAAATAATTAACTATTAACACAAACATATATTACTTGTTATTTCTATAGGATTTAGAAGTAACGTAATATTATGTTTTAAAAAAAGATAAAGATAAGTTTGATTGTTTTTTCAATTTTGAATTTTGACACTAAATTTTTATTCTTTTTCAAACTTGACATTCCGTTTGTTTTTGTTCCAAATAGAAAATCATATTTTACAATTTCTTTCGACAATATCTTTCGATATTAACCATTTAACAAACTTCATTTTTCTAAAATAATATGGATCATTTTTAAAAATTTGTTAAAATATAAAGATATAAAGATATTTGTCGATTTTGACTCAAACATAAACGGCGTCATTCAAATTCGCGTTTACGCTGATTAGGTTAGAAGGTGAATGTGAATCGGCTCTCCGCTACTAACCGTCGTCTAGTCTCAAGTAACTCCCGCTTCACTTTCGCCCATCTCCGCTCCTCTCTTCGGAGAATCTCAAGCTTGTTGCAATCGGTGATTACAGGTGCCGCTTCTTAATCTCTTCGTCCATATTCATATCTAATTGAATCGTTTGACAGAGAATACTCATAGGTCTTTTATTCAGTCGTCTAGTTGCTTAACCTCACTCAGTTTTTGCACAATCAGGGTTTCATCCTGTTCTTTCTTTTGTTCTAAGAATGTTTTTTTGTCGAATTCGTTTGTTTTATCGTGATAAATGAAGTTATGTTAGCAGTGTTTGCATTTGCTTCCTTTTTAATCTTTATCACAGCAAAAACGTGCAGACTAGGTATTGGTTTTGTTTTGTTGAACCCTAATCCAGAAGCTAAAACAAATTATTTTGACAAATTCATCATTTAACCAATGTATCTGTTCGAATGTGATGCTACTTTAAGTGAAACATATAAATAAGCTCATACAGGAGTATTTTCTCAAATTCTTCGTTGAATGACTGCTTTTTATTTGCTTTAATGGTGATAGTTTTCTCCCCAATAAATATTTGCAGCCACTTTCACTGTGGGTATGGCTAAGATTAGTGAGAAAATAACACAACTAAGATGGTTTTATGGATCTTCTTTGACCACAACCTTTACAGGAAATTCCCTTGTTCCTGTGCATAAAACCACCATCAAGTTCAAGACTCCATTACTCCCCTTTCCAAGAACTCAAGTGTTGTATCGTTGTTGCAGATCAATCATGAAGACAAATACAACATTACCTATCATAGTCAAGGAAACCATCGATCCAACTGATAAAGAAAAACAGATATTCGATCGATTGCGTGAAGTTCTTGTTCATTTCAATCTTGACACACAGCTTCGTGTTGCAGGAGGATGGGTTCGCGATAAGCTTCTAGGAAAAGATTGTTATGATATCGATATTGCTCTTGATAACATGTTAGGAAAAGAGTTTTGTGAAAAGGTAAACGAGTATTTAGTCTCCACAGGTGAACAATCACAAGGAATTGGTGTTATTCAAAGCAATCCGGATCAATCCAAGCATTTGGAAACAGCAAGAATGCGATTATTCGATGTCTGGATCGATTTCGTCAACTTAAGATCCGAAGATTACACTGAAAACAGCAGAATTCCAACCATGCAATTCGGTTCTCCAGAACAAGATGCATATAGAAGGGATCTTACAATCAACAGCTTGTTTTACAACATCAATACATGTTCAGTTGAAGATTTTACTAAAAGAGGGTTGAATGATTTGAAATCTGGGAAAATCGTGACACCATTGCCACCCAAAGAGACGTTCTTGGATGATCCTTTGAGGGTTCTTAGAGCAATTCGTTTTAGTGCAAGGTTTGAATTTGAAATGGATGAAGAATTAAAAGTTGCAGCTTCAGACAATGATGTGAAATCTGCCATTGGTGGGAAAATTAGCAGAGAAAGAATCGGGCATGAGATCGATCTTATGGTATCCGGGAATCAACCAGATAAAGCAATAACTTACATATCAGAATTAGGTTTGTTTTGGGTTGTTTTCACATTACCTGAAAATTGTAAACCTTTAATTTCACAAGAAGATGATAGAATTTGTGTTGAGTATATGAATTTGGGAATGAGACAGTTTCTTGAAGTGGGGTGTAGTTTTACAAATGAACAGAGAAGGATTTATTTATATGCATCGTTGTTTCTTCCACTTAGGAAGACAGTTTACATAGACAACAAAAAGAAAACATTTCCCATTGTGAATTTCATTTTCAAAAATTCTTTAAAGTTAAAAGTTAGTGATGCGGATGATGTTGTGAGGCTACATAATGGAGTTGAGAAGTTTTTGTGTTTGATCCCTTTCGTGTTATCTGGTGAAGATATGAATAAAATTGATTGGGAAATTGATTTGATTGAAGTTCCTGTGAAATTGAAATCAAGAATCTTGTTGGGATTGGTTTTGAGGGAAATGAAAGATTTGTGGAGGGTTGCTTTGATGCTTTCGAGTATTGTAGGGGAAGAAGTGGAGAAAAGGAAGGAAGTGTTTATGGAGGTTGAAAGAGAAATATTGAAATTAGGTTTGGAAAAAGTGTGGGAAGTCAAACCTTTGGTCAACGGGAAGGATATAATGAAACATTTGGAGCTTGAAAAAGGGGGCCCGGTTGTTAGTGAATGGCAGCGGAAGCTTCTACAATGGCAGCTTGCTTATCCTTCCGGAAGCTTAGAGGAATGTGTTGATTGGATGAAGAGGGAAATGGAGAAGAAGCGTGCTAGAACATGAAGAGGAGAATAATCTATCTATTTCTAGGTGTTTTTTTTTTTCTTCTAGTGAGTAAGATGATATTTATATTTTTAAGTTCTTGTGATGTACAAGAAGTAAATTTTGATGCTAGTGATATCGGTTTGCATATTCTGAAATATAAAAACAAAGAAAACGTGATGGTGTTTTTTCTTGTTGCTGTGTTGTTTTTAGGGAAATTTGTAGGAAATATCAACATACTTTGCTCATGCGCAATGTGCTTCGATTATTTCTTATCCATAATAGTAAGTTGCTTACAGTTTTTTACCTTATAAGGTTTAACTAGACAACCCCATTTATTTATTTATTTATTTTTTGCTTATTTGGTATCTTATGTGAAGCTAAATCAGCATTTAAATCACACTCAAGCCCAAAAACAGTGGTAATCACAAACCAACAGACTTGTTTCAAAGAAGTCTATCGAAGGGAAGTCGAAGAACAATCAAACACAAAAACATTCAGTGTAATACAAAAAATAGCATGATACTTTCAATTTTTTTTATTTTTATTTTTTTTTAATTTATCATGTGTTTGTTGAATAAATTTTTCTTAGTACATTTTACTTCAAAAAAGATGCCCCCTATCACTATAGGTAACATCTCTTTGGCAAATTAATAAAGAAAGAATATTCTTAATTTTGTCAAAACCAAAAATCATTGTACTTCATTGTATTTATATAGGTATGGGTAGATTTTGGATGCGTTTGGTTTGCCGGAATGGAATGAAATTCAAAGGAAAACGAATTCAATTCCACCACATTCCAGTGTTTTTTGTTCAACTTTATATGATGAAATTGAAATTTTAAATGAAAACGTTTTCCATCAAATAGAGGAAAACACTTTCCTCCAAAAAAATAATGGAATGAATTTGCTACTATGAAGAAATTGACATTTTACCTTATTACCTTTGTTTTATTTCACAACATAACATCTACCACCATCACCCACCACCTCCGGCACCACCACCTTTACCATCACCCACCACCACCACCACCGCCATCACCACTACTACCTACCACCGCCGCCACCACCACCACCACCACAAGCCACCACCCACTTACCACCGCTGCAGTCACCACTGCCACCGTCACCATTACCCACCTACCACCACAACCACAACCACCGCCACCACCACCCACCACTCGTTACCGCCACCACCACCACCACCACCTACCCCCGCTACCGTCACCGCCACTACTACCATCCATTTTTTCTAGGTGTTTATTATTATTATTATTATTATTATTATTATTATTCTAGTAAGTAGGTTGCTATTTACATTTTTATCAAGATATTGGTATATCTTAGAATCTAAACACGGGGAACAGTTTCCATGTAAGTTCTTGTGATGTACAAGAAGTAAAATTTGATGTTGGTGATATCGGTTTGCATATTCTGAAATATAAAAACAGAGAAAACGTGATGGTGTTTTTTCTTGTTGCTGTGTTGTGTTTAGGGAAAATTATAGGAAATATCAACATACTTTGCTCATGGGCAATGTACTTCGATTATTTTTTTTATCCATAATAGTAAGTTGCTTACAGTTTTTTACCTAATAAGGTTTAACTGGACAATCGTCTTTATTTAATTTTTTTGATTACTTAGTATCTTATGTGGTGCTAAATCAGCATTTAAATCACACTCAAGCCTAAAAACAGTTTCTGTAATCACAAACCAACAGATTTATTTCAAAGAAGTCTATCGAAGGGAAGTCGAAGAACAACAATCAAACACATAAACATTCAGTGTAATACAAAAAATAGCATGGTACTTTCAAATTTTATTTTTTAATTTATCAGAGCATGTGTTTGAATTTCTTCTTATTATAGCATTGTTCTCTTGAATAAATTTTTCTTAGTACATTTTACTTCAAAAAAGATGCCCCCTATCACTATCTTATACTACTATATTATAAAGCATATTACTCATATCTTGAATTTTAAGAGGTATAAGATACAAAACTTTTTGTACAAATCAATTCTACATAAAGAAAAATCTTTAATACTTGCCAAAAGTTTAAAAACATGAATTAAATAAGATTATTAAGAAATGTAATTTGGAACAAAATGACAATTTTAAAATATTAAATTCATGCATATAAATTAATTTATATTTCTTAAACTAAACACCGATAATAATTAATTTACATCAAATGTATAAACATACAATATAAATATAAAGACTATACATAAATATTTTATTTAAAAGAGGTAATTTTTTTTATTATATAATAACAAATAATAAAATATAATAATTATTTCCTCATCAGAAAACTATTCGCCAAAAGAGCTAATTATCGCCGCTGCTTTGCACGGACACACGTCTAATATATGTAATTTCTCTTTGGCAAATTAATAAAGAAAGAATATTCTTAATTTTGCCAAAACCAAAAATCCTTGTACTTCATTGTATTTATATAGGTATGGGTAGATTTAGGGTGCGTTTGGTTTGCTGGAATGGAATGAAATTCGAGGAAAAAAGAATCCAATCCCACTATATTCCAGTGTTTGGTTTGGTTCAACTTTATATGATGAAACTGAAACTTTAAATGAAAACACTTTCCATCAAATAGAGGAAAACACTTTCCTCCAAAAAAAAATAATGGAATTAATTTCCTACTATGAAGAAATTGACATTTTACTTTATTACCCTTGTTTTATTTCACAGCCTAACATCTACCACCATCACCCACCACCTCCGCCACCACCACCTTCACCACCACCACCACCACCGCCACCGCCACCACCACTACCACTTGCCACTGCCGCCGCCACCACCACCTACCGCCATCACCACCTACCACCACCACTATCACCTAACCCCACTACCGTCACCGCCACCACCACCCACCTGCCACCGTCGCTGCCACCACTACCCACCTACCGTCATAGCCACCGCCACTACCACCACCTACCGATACTGCCACCACTACTCACCACTCGTCACCGCCTACTGCCACCACCATCACTTACCCCCACTATCGCCATCGCTACCACCTACCACCGCCACCGTCACCACTACCACCACCTACTGTCGCTACCACCACTGCTACCTACCCACCTACCGCCACTGTTACCTACCATTGCCACCACTACCACCTACCAACTCCACCGTCACTGTCACCGCCACCACCACTGCCACCACCCGCCACTTGTCACCGCCACTACTATTACCACCAATACTGCCACTACCACCATTACTTACCACCGCCACCGCCACCACAACCACCTACCACTACTACTGACATTAATGCTCAATTAATAAAATGAAAATTTACTATTTTTATTGTTTATATAATATATATTTACATATAAGAAAACAAAATAAAATTAAGCAAAACAGACAAAAAAAAACAATTCTGTTATTTTATATGGATTACAATTCTATTTCATGTCAACCAAATAGAATCTGTAATTAATTCCAACTCCATTTCCTATCAACCAAATAGTATGTGGAATTAGATTTAAATTTGTGGCAACTTTCTTTTCTAATTCTTCTAGAAACATTCAACCAACCAAACAACATCTTTTGTAGTGTGAGTCTTATAAGTTTCACTTCAATTAAGAATCTTTTCGATTTGACACAATCATAAAAACGGTGTGGTTCTCAAAATCACTATGTTACTAAATGGATAATGATATATGTTTAGATAAATCGTTGATAGAAATATTGTTTCTTACTGAATATATTGTTTGAATCTAAACAAAGGAAATAACAAGTAACTATACATTTAATAGCCGTTATTATTAAAAAGTTATATTATCTATTTATCTTATTAAAAATATTTGAAAACTTAGATAAGTTTAAAAAAAATAACATGATTAATAACTTAACATTGAACACATGTTCTTTTTCCAAAAAAAAAAAATCAAATAATAAAACTAAATAATATTCGTTACAGTAGATTAGCAGTTTTATTTACGCATATTAAATTTGATAACACTTTCACAAATTTAAACAAAAATATTACGAACATAATTCATACAAAACATTAACGGTTTGATCAAACTAATTTACAACTCCCGGGTCACGATTGAAAATCAAGAGTTTAAAGTATATACAATTAAATTAAAAACCAATTTTCGTCTATATAATATTTTAACTATGACAAAATTATGAAAAAGAGCAAGTATATGATCGATCCTTCATGACATGTACAACAACGGTTTTTATGATTAATTTTTTTAAGGTTCAACCGTTCAAGGTTAAATACTACCATGAACAAAATTATAATTTTTTTGCGAAATGAATAAATATTTTAAAAGAAAAACGAAATATCTATAATATCTGAAACCATAATTTGCTTTTATAGGAATATAAGGGATATTTTGGAAAAATAAATATTAAGCACACTTATTTTCTAATTTAACCCATTATTATTATTATATTTTTTTGTACAATTAAGTTCTTAAAACTTTGAGTGCATTAAGTAAAATAATAAATAAATAATAATAAAAAAAAAAACACCGTAGTAACTCTCCGGTCTACAGTAAGTCAGTAACTATTGCTTCACTTTCGCCCATCTCCGGTCCTCTCTTCGGAGAATCTCAATCTGAAGATTACGCATCTTCTTAATCTGTTTGTCTACATTCATATCTAATTGATTCTTTTTATAGATTATACTCATAAGTATTCGATTGAGTCATCTAGTTGCTTAATCTCACTCGGTTTTTGCACAATTAGGGTTTCATGCTGTTATTTTTGTTGTTTGTATGTTTAGGTTTTTAAAGTTTTTAAAATAAATAACAAAAAAATTTAGAAATGACCAATATAGCCAACAAAATCGCAAAAGACATCTGACCTTTGCGATTTCCGACCATTTGCAACTTCCGACCACTCAATCTTATCTATGATTTCTTCTATTATTGCCTCTTTACAAATGTCTAATGCATAACGTTATGTATTAGACACCATTGTGAAAAACAAAGATAAGTGGGATTGTACAAGTGCTTAATGCATAACCTTGTGTATTAGATATTTATACAATTTCACTCCAGAAGAGGAAATCATAGATGAGATTGAAGACAGGAAATCGTAAATGGGGTCTGCGATTTCATCATGCCAAAATTGCAAAACTAGATTTCCTTTTGTGCTTTTGATGAAATCGTTGTCCAAATGACGAAACGGCAGCCCATGAAGGCCCAACTGCGATTTTGATGACTATAGAGGTCACTTTTTAAAATTTGTTGGGTATTCTTGGAAAATATTTAGGGAATTTGACTAGATTTGTCTTTTTCTCACAACAA